ATAAATTCCGGAGATTTTGTGAGCTCCCAGTCTATCTCACGTTTCCCGCTATCCTCCTACGTTGAAAAGCCGCGCGAGTTTACTCCCTCCGACAAAGTGAAGCAACCTCGATGGAAGAGTACAGCTACTGAAATCCGCATGTCTGTCTGCTCCACCGGTAGAGTCAACATTCGAATGAATATCCTGTGGGAATTCGGTTTTTCGTGTCCTCAAAAACTTCTAGATCCTCTGTCTGTCGTCTGAATACGCTTTCAAGCCTCGACGCTGAATGATGTATGCTAATGGAATGGCTGAGAGGGCTGTTGAAGTATTAATAACCTTTCTACTCTGTTCGCGGAATAGCCAGAAACGAAAGCAGATCAGAAAAGACTCGACGCCCACTACGCCAGCAGAGAGGAAGCCTGCTCGAGGCCCTATCAGAAGTGGAGATTCTTGGCTTGTCAGACGCTCCGAGCTCGCTTCCCTGTCCTTGTTTCCCTCGTTGTCGGCCGAAAGCCACAAAGCTTATGATCCGAAACCTAGATGAAGGAGTCTCCCTTAGGATTTCCGCGGTAGTCGGATCCCGATGTTCTTTGAGGCTCGCTCACTACTTAGCTGGCCTCGATCTCAGAACGAATCCATGCAAATATTGAATCGCAGATCAGTCGACGTTCCCGCAGTCTGGACGACGATTTGAACGAACATGAATGAGATTCGCGGACACGTTCGACATGTCCGCGTTCCCACACCGCGATCGATCGTTCCCCATGTCGGCAATATTCGGAGATTTATCGCTCACTCGAGTTCCTGGAGCATCGTTTGCTTCGACGCCCCGGATCCGTCTCGGTATGACAGTCGGAGCCTGTCATATGTAGTAGGTTGTCCATGCAGAGGTTGAGATGCATCGATTAGGCCATCGAATCTCTGAGCTCCTATGGCACCGAGGATAGCTGAAGTGTTTCGGTGAGACACACCGAACAAACAGCCGTCGGCATAACAAACAGATCGTCATACGATAAAGCTCCCACTCAGCTCCGTAGGTACATATCAGGGAACCGATCATTTCCATTCGATGGCTAACCGTCCGCGCCCGGCTCCGATTGCGGCAGCGTCAACGCCGGTGTGGCGTTTCCCTGTGGTAGCAACGCCGTCGTCGACGTCGCCGGTAGATGCGGCGGCGGCGACGTAGTCCATTGAGTCGGCGTGAGCTTAGTGGCCCGGCTCATCTCATCTAGCTGTCTGTGTAGCTTGTTTGGAGCCTTTGCCTGAAGTGAGCAGGCGAACCGCTTGCTTTCTTGCTACAAGGCCGCTCGATTGGAAACTGCTCCATTCCTACCTCCCTCCACATCCCAAGGAGCGGGTAAAGTGGCAGACTGACTGTCCGAGCTGGCACGCCAGGTGTCAATCCATCAATCTGTGCGTGCGAGCGTGCGTCCGGAATAATGTTTGTTCTATTTCGCGGTCTGCTGTGCTTCTCCCTCGGATCTCAGCGGTGCTGACTTGTTGCCGCTGCTGTTGGAGCTGGTTTCGGAGAAGTTGTTGTTGATTGTGGCCCCGCAGCCCCCTCCCCCGCTGGACGTCGTGCTCAATAGGTGACTGCATCCAGTCGATGATGAGTGGGCGAAGCAAGCCGGTTTAGCCGCTAGCTTCTCGCTGATAGCTCGTTTGGAAGCTCCGCGTGACGTCACTGGCATCAATGGCTTCAGTGGTGGCCAAGCTCAAGAGGCGGATGAAGAGAAAGCTAGTCAAGAGTTTGTCTGGCGAAGACCTCCCCAGAAGGTACGCAAAATTGACATATCCCCTGTCGCTATCGCCGCCAAGCTCGGTTTCCCCGGTCATATTACTATTTGTTACTATTTGAAATGGCTTCCGAACAGAAGGAGTCCCGCACCCTATTCATGGCAAACGATCGATTCTCTGATGAGTACGGCACGAGTCGTGCCAGCCGGTGCGCTTTCCGAAGTAGGGATATTCGCCTGCCCCGAAAAATTAGAAATCCGGAACACGGGGGTTGTATAGCATGAAAACCTATTACTATACCCTCAATATCATAGCCTCGAATATTGCTCACGGCACGAACACTTCGATGTGGCTGACGCAGTATTTTATTATTTTTGTGAAAACCCGCCGCTTCCCCATTTCATTCACGTTTTTTGAATGTCTCCCTCGCTGTGAATCAGTCCTAACACGAACGCAGGCGTTGAGAACATTCAGCCGATGATCGAAAAATCAGATCCTCGAATTTTCGGCGCAGTCATCTTCGACAGGGACGCCCCACTGAGTTCACTCGCGGCTTGAAATAGATCCACCATATTGGCAAAGGAGTCCGCGTAATACAATCCAGTGTACACACTGGAATCTCCCGAACTTGATAGAGGTGCCGACGAACGGTTCCAACGGAGCTATTGTTGTCCACGAAGCCCCGAAGCACGCCAACGGTTTACTTGCCCTCCCGCCAGCCAGCCAGCCTGCCTGTCTGCTCAATGACAATGGCGAAGATTAATTGCGTCGAAGCAGACCTCTTCGTCGGAAATTACGGATGTGACACAGCGAGCGAAACCTGTCAGAAGATATTTTGTGGAGCGCTTCAGAGCTCTAGGTCGTCCCGGTCATCCCCAAAGCGTCAGCTCACGTCATGCATACGACCCTTCAGCACACGATTGGTCTCTCTCGTGGCTTGTTGACTCGGCCAGGAACGAGATGTTTTGAATTTCTGAAAGCGGAACATCTTCAATCAGATCCCGAAAATATTTTCATCTTCGACTCCGATAACGGCGACGCGGAACTCCTGAAAGAGAAGTTTCGAGCTTGCTCAATTAGCACGGGCGTGCCGTTTCGCCGAGTTTCCGATCCGTGCCCGGAGCTTGATTTATAAGATCTGGATCCGTTGCGAAAGCGGAGTTGGAGAAAATGACGTATCGTCTCGCGCTCAGACAAAAATAGTACGGAGTAGTGGCCTGAGAAAATCATCGTCAGCGAAGACGATGACTGAAACAACACCATTCGATCAGAGAGGAGCTCCACACGAGAGTGTCGTCCGTGTATCTTTGGGTTGTGTTCAGGTTTCGATCAATAATAATAATCAATAATAAATGATAATAATAATCTACTGCTCGAATAGAAGAGGTCGGGGACTCGAGCGAGATGAACCTAGTATGCTTCCCGCTCGTCGTTGGCGCAACGGTTCTGCCGAGTCCTCCTCTGCTTAGGAGGGATTGCTCCGTAGATGTCGGCCGAGCGAGCGAGCGGGCAGGCTGGCGAGCATCAGACTACACAGCCTGGCTTCCCAAAGTTCGATACTCGCTGTGATGCTCGGGAACATCCCGAAGTGTCGTTACTGTGTGCAGGTAGCAAGCGGGCGACAATCAGACAGATGAAGCAGCAACCAATGCCAGCTCTCGTTTATTGTGTGACCTGCGGCAACAACGTCGCGCCGTCGTCGTCGTGAGGGAACTGCTCCTGAATACTGTCAAGCAAAAGTTCGCTGGGATCGACAAACACGCCGGTCGATGTCTCGCTGTATTGGTTACCGATGATTTTATTCAGCAGCCGTCGCGGAAGCGGGCATATCATGAAATGGAGGCTGTCGGAATCGTGTATCATTTTCTCCCGATCAATCCATTCATTTTGATTACCTCCCGCCCAATAGGTGAGCTCACAGCTGATCGGCGTATCTCTGATCCGTGCTCGGATGGAAAACGCAGAAGAATGCGCGAGCGATTCGAGCGGGGGAATTCTTTTGGGGGAATATCCTTGCGACGACCCGGTCGCAGCAGCGTACACGACCCTCCTCCTTTTTTGGTGGTTGGGCCCAGCACGTCCTTCCCTGGCCAACATATCCTCTTGCCATACGGTACGGGACCCGAGCGTCGACCCTCCCTCACTCGACGAGGCCCTCTCTCGTTGCTGCTGCCGCGCTGGCTCGCAGGCTCAACGGCTACACCAGCCAGCTGTAGGAGAAGGCCGAGGGAACATCCTCCACAGCTGGAATGGTCACGGCTTTCTGGCCTCGGAAACTTTAGAACAGTGACCCAGAATCGTCGACTACCACGGTGGCTTATGGTGGTGTACGCGTGGCCAGGAGACATCGAGCAGAGTGTCGTTCCGTCCGCTCGATTCTGCACGGGACTGGCGTCGACTTGTCAAGCTAACAACTTGTACAGAGCTTCCCGTGAGGTGGCGAATGGGACACGAGACACGAGCTCGACTCGGAGCGAGCCGATGATATGAAGTGAGAACATTTCAACGAGGTGCTGTGTTGTGACCGAGGATGGTTCTACGGCGACCGTGTGGCTCTCGTCAAACTCAGGGCAGCTTTCGTCATCAACCGTTTTCAACAGAAATCGAGCAACAAACGCAAAAACATTTCGAAAATATCGTCTCTGACACTCAACACAATTATTGAGTCGAGGAGAGTGGAGCATCTCTAACATAAACCTAGGATAGAACTTTGGCGCGCTGTAGACACATACCTGTACTGCTTAAGCCTCCGGAGTGGCTGAGCTGACTCGGGGCTGTTTTTGGAACAAACACCGGAGCTACCCTCCAGCTCTGGGAACTCGTCCTCGATCGTCGTTTCGCGAGAAATACGGATTCCGGAGCGGAGGACATTGGGAGTTCGGAAACTCGCTCGTGGACTTCGGTTTCACGAGCTCACCTCACACTTGGACGGAAGGCTCGAACGGGCTCCAGCGGCCCTGTACGGCAGGTTTCGGTCTACGTAAGGGCTTCCCACACGATTTTTGACAGCAAGCGACTTTTTCCTCCCCTCACGTGCTCACCCCGGCTCGCAGGGTTCTGTCACGCGACTGAAATAAGGAGAATCTCCGGCAGGAGCAGCGGAGCTTCACTGATTCATCTCGCTCATCAATAATTCGACGATACCCCTGAACAGGGGAAGGAGCAACGTTATCTCTGGAGCACATTCCTGGAGCACGGAATCGCATTCAAAATCCATCAGCCGGGAACTGAGGACGGAGACCTCGAAGATCAGCGAGCGAGGACATGCGAATGAAGTCATAATGTTGGTTAATCGTACCGAACAAAAAGGAGGTGAGAACGCCGCCCCAGGGGACGCGAACAGCGGCACCAAGAAACGGAAAAAGGTTCAGCTCGTGCTCGGCGGCCTGACCATGAACTCCCCCGACACGGCGACTCAGTCGTACAGCCCCCCTGACGTCCATGATTTCCCCATGGCTCCCACGTCTTCGTCCAAAATGAAGGTGATGGTACAGCATGAGGTCAAGGGGCCCATTCCTCGAAGGGACAGGTCTAGGTCCCTCTGCGTCGAAAAACTGCCCACGTTTCACAAGCAGCCCCCGAGCCCTGTGTTTAATGTGAAATTCCGCCATCTCGGCACTGCCAAAGCGAACGCCATCCTCGGTCGACGCGGCTCCGAGTCATCTGGAGCTGTCGCGGATAGACTATCCGTTCAGGCAGCCTATGCATGGTAAGAGCTACGACGGTAATCCCATAGCTAATGATGATAGCTATGCAGCTTTAGTAGTTGAGCTCCCTCCTTATGGCGACTGCTGGCCCTCCCACTGTTCCTGGACGGAGAGATTTGTGACACCTAGATCATCCCTGGTATATGTACACACATGAAGGCAGGAACGAACAATGGCTGCAGCTTCTGGGCGGTCGATCGGTCCGTCGGTCGGTCTGTCTATCTGTCGGCCGGTCGATTGCTTGAAACAAAGCAACCAGTAGTAGCCGACGCGTGATCAGGATCGGCTCAGCTGGTGGCTCAGGCTTGTGAATGAATTGCGCCCGTACTCTTCGCTCTCCACCTGTTTACGGCGACCATCAGCACTCTTCTCGACTTTCAGCGCCCGCGCGGTGGACCTCGCGGGGATAATTGACTCGCGCCGGAACCTGCCGCCTCGATGGCTAAGCGGGATTAGTTCTCAACAGATGCCGTTTAATTACTCGGCCAGATTGGTCGTAGGATGGGTCCAGATTCTATGCAAACCACTCCGAACGCTATTCCCCCGAGTGCTTCCTTCGGTCCGAAGAGATTGAGCCGTTCAGTATCTAAGGACCGGAATGCAATGCCCGATCAGTTTGTAAATCTTCCACCGACGCCGCATTATGATACTTTATGGTTCTGAATGCCGACCCAGAGGTCCGAGATTATCGATTGGTTGATTGGTTGATATATGAATTTGCCAACCGTTCCGGGTAGTATACATTTTGTTGTATGCGAGGGCCCCGTTCGCGAGTGGTGACTTTCCTCGATTGTTGAATGTTGGTGAATCCGACGAGCCCGGGAAACTAGTTTTTTCGTTTTCCGCCCCCTCCTCTCGAGACTTTCTTTTGTTCGCTCTACTGTTCCTCGTGTTGAGTCTTCATGCCCAGAGGCCTAGTTTCTCCACAGATCCTAAGGATCTCCGAGAAAGGCTCTGAGCCCTGTTCCTCCTTGCATTCCATGATGGCGTGCTCCAGGGTTTCTCTGAGGCGATAGCGGGACTCACAATTTGATATTATATCCGAGTAACCGTCTGCTGTCAATCATTCATGACGGGGAGCTGAATCGCTGGTCACGGTAGCTACATGAACGGGACTAGCTCGAACGAACTACGGAATTACGCTGATGTTTCTTTCTGTCACCCATTGGTCAAGTGGTCGCATCGTTCATATTAAATGTTTAATGTTCCATAATTGACAACTCGACAATCGCTCATCGCAGTGAACGCCGCGGTAACCAAGCACTCTTGACTAATGAGGCTGGAGTCTAACAGGTCTCCTGCGCGTGCAGCCGATGTCCCGATCCCGGTCGAGAGACGGCGGCGGCCGGAGGGAGTTTTTTTCCCCATAACACTGCTCCTGAAGAGAACGATTTCAGCAGTTTGAAAATTTCTCCCGAGTTTTTGCTCGGAAACACGAGATCGTCACGCCCCCCCCTTGTTCGACTTCCTAAGAGTCTGTCTACGTACTCCTGTTGATCCATCGACTCCCCGTCGACTCTTATCGTACACTTGAGACCTTGAGCGTCACCTGACGTCGGAAAGTTCCGAGTGAAGCCTCGGAATTCCGCTGCCCGTTCATGGAGCGACGCTGCATATGGTTCCTTCATGCATCAGGTCTCGAGAGCTCATTTTGCCTTTTATTCGCAAATGTGCCCACCGAAGGGCTTCGACTGCTAGTTCGAAGAGGCTCTCATCCGAACTTCTCCTCTGTCAAAGGTGGCGTTACCTTGATTTATTCTCTGGCCGAACTCGTGCTTTTTCTTCTCCGCCTCGAAACCCTCCCGAGGTTCCCTATCGACGTCAGTGCACGGTGTCTACTGACGTACATCCAATGCAAATTGAGTTGGTCTCTCTCAGTATGATCCGGGGTGGTGTCATCGAGTTCATCGGCCTTCCTGAATTTCCTATTACCTTGAGACGTAGACGTCCATCATAGCTGAACGGAAAACCTGACACACTGCTGGTAGGGAAAGGAATCTTCTCCATTATCGAGAACGTCGATGGTCCTAAATCTCCCTCTCCCGCGAATGGAGGACTTCCATTGTATGTGCCTAGGATTAAAGAGAGGATGACGAGGAACAACTCCCATGAGCACGAAGTCGTAACAAGCGAACTTTTCCGAAAAAGGAACTAATCCACTTTTCCTCTCGACTGTTCTACTCGATAACAGCATGCCGATGCTGAGCGCTTATCTCACTCACTCAGTCCGTATGCCTTCCCTCTCGGCGTTTTACCGTCGAAGAGCCTCGTGTATCCATTCCTCCCCGACTGTCGAGCTCCTGCTGCACTCGCTCCCATCGCTGTGCCTTCTGACTCCCCAGTCTTCTTGTCTCACCTCCTTCCCTTAGACTCCGCTCATCTGATTCCAGCCGGTGAGAGGTCTCTCTCTCTCCTGTTTATCATTGGAAAGAGTACATATATGGCACGCTACGAGACGTAGGTATCAGGCTGCGGGAAAGAAAGAATTCCTCTAAGGTAGGTAGTACATAAGATTTCATTGAGCCACATCGATCCCGTGCAGGCCTGATGCTTTCCCAGAGAATTCTCCATCGATACGATCGGCTCATCATAGTCTAGCTTCCTATTGCTCGATGTTCCTTGTTACGCTGCCCAATCCCAATAGAGTTGTAACGCGCAGCTTGCGATACATGCTCCACGTCTGATGATATAGAGAGAGCACAGAGAGAATATTCATGATATGGTTCCGGCGTCGGTTCCGACCAATCGCTCGTCAGCTACTGGAACGACTCATGGTCGGGTTTGTTTGTATCCGCTCATTCACCAAGTCCTGTAACTCCTTGTACGACTCGTGACTCCGGGAGCGTTTCTTCCCGGAAGATTGGCGGCAATCAGCTGTTCAATGATCGCAAACGATCGACCCTCGCTGTCCTGAACTTGGCGCCAGGACTCCAATCCGAGAGGATCGCAGACGGTGGTGCTCGGTATAATCACCGCTAACGTAGCGAAAATGAAGCGCGAGGCGCCCGATTCCATTAGGTCCTTATTTTTTGAAGGGACGTTCCCATCATCCGCGGAAAAACACGAGGCGAGTACACTATGTATCTTCTGAAGCTGAGCGGAGGTAGGATCAACCCGTGTTCTTGATTCCCAACGTTTTTCCGTTGAGAAGTGCAGCTGCTGTTCCTTATCCCGGGTGAGCTCCCAAGTGTCCACAAGTCTCAGTTCCGAATTGGAGCGAGGATATGGCTCCGATATTTCCTAGACTCGAAGATTCGAACTTTGCTGAGAGCCAGAACTTTTCCTGCCACCATGAAGTCCCACGGTGGATCGTGGCCCGGGACTGCTGCGAGTTCCACCGACAACAGGACTTGAGTCCACAGACGGAGCCGACGGTTCCAAGCGCCCGCCGTCGGAAGTTTGTTGCTCTTTGGGGGAATTCGGAGACGAGTCTCACGAAGGCTGCTGTCTATTGTTCACCGACAATTAGCTCTCATTGTGAGGAGTGAAACAATGAGCTCACAAAGGCGAACGACGTTCGTCGTTATTGCCATTGCTTCTCCAATTGCTGGGGCTTCTCTTCGTAGTGCACGTCCTGATCGGGATGCCGGACCCGTTCTGGGATCGCGGAGTCCATCTTCAGCAACAACGGTCGAGCACGTCTGGATATTCGAGCTGTCGCCAATACTCGTTTTATGATATGACTCTGCGTGCGCTACCATCTCGAGGAGGAGTCTCAGTCGTAAGGAGAAGAATCTATCACTCACACTGGTGCAACCAGCCGCGAGATCGGCCACGCCCTCCGCCAGAGGCTTCAGCTTTCAATATTCATGAGACGTGTGAGCATCGTATTCGTTCGTTCCTTCCTTCGTTACTCTGCAGATTTCCTTTCCGTGATGCCGTTTCCTCTCCCACGTTCGCCCCTGCTTCCTCCGTCGACTCCTTCCAGGAGAAAAGCTTCCCGTCCTTCGGCATTTTCCCGAATTTCCCGCTCTTTTCCTCCGGTCCGCTTTCTCTGTGCGGATACATTATTTGAATGGACTTTTCAAAATCTATTATTCCCGCTTTCCGGAAAATAAACCACCATCTTGAATATGCCAGTGGGCGAGGTCAGAAGGGTGGGTGAATGTCCGTCATGAGTGAGGCAACGACCCGCAGCTCGGTCAGGCCGTGAACGTCAGTGAGCGGATATGGAATTTAAAAAAACCTGTAGCGAAGGCAGGTGCGCAGCTTCCCGCTTCCGCTGCTCCCGCTGTCGCCGACCGATGTTGGGTATAGCGAGCCATAGACGCGAAGTTCGCATACCTCTTCACCGGACAGGTCGATAACGAGATTACTCTTGATCACCGCCGAGAATACCGTGACACTCGGATAGGGAAGAGAGTTTGCCGTACCGCAGAGCAACCAAGCGTTGGGTTGGTTGACTGAGCGAACGAGCTCTGCCGGTCCATCAACAGGCACTCTCTGACGTTCTTGTTCCGTGTGAACATAGAGGAGCACCGACAGCAACACGACGGTCGGTGTCTGAGAACGAACGAACGAACGGATGAATGACACGGGAAACGGAAGCGTCCGAGGGGGGCCCGGAGGCATTACGTTAGGCATTGCTATCGGAGGAGCCTTCCGGCGTCAGCGTCTACGACCCGCACACACCGTCGTCGGAGCCCTTGAGAGAATTTCGATGCAGGCGCGAGCTACCGCTGCGGTAGCCAAGCGCCGCGTCTGTGCCTTCCCTCTTTGTGAGAGTTCAGCTCCGAGAGCGGTACGGAGAAAACAGAATCGACGCTCGCGAAGAGGAGGAGGCGTCGCACGCGGGAAATTCCGTCGAGGGCCGGGAGATTAGGTTTTTCTGCGTTCCGTGGGTTTTTCGTCTCCGGAGCTTATTTCCCGGATGATGAACGAAGTTTCTCGACTGCTGACCCATCACCGTTCCGTCTCTCGGCAAACTGCGGGCTAGAGCCGGGAGTCGACCTCTCCGCCCCGTGTCTGCGGAGTCAGCGAAGCCTTCGGCAAATAATTTCAC